CCAGTCTGGTGGCAAAATAAAATTAATGTAGCAACAATAATAATAATTTTAAATCAGATTTAGATAATCACCATTATGAAATATCATACTAATTTAACCCTTTAACTATGGCAGGCCCATTATTTTATTTTCCTTGTGTGGGAGAAAAATTTGGAAAAAAAAGACAGGTTGAAAGAGAATATTTTTCTAAACAAACCAACAAAAACAAAAATGAAATCAAACAAAAACGCTACAATTTTATGATACGCTGAAGTTGGCAAAAACAACTGCTAGTCAGCAACATCAGCATAAATGTGCATAGTGGACTTTATGTTTTCCCATTTGTTTATTGTAAATTATGATAGTTGTGAATTTTTTCAGTGCTTAATATTCACTAGGCAATCTTCCAGAAAGGATGTTGACATGCATACCAGCACTCTTGTGGTCAAAACAGACAGCATATACTTACATTCAAAACAGTTTAAACACTTCTTTAAAACAAAAGTTACACTTAAAGTTTATTCTGTATAGATGACTGCCATTTTCAGCATATTTCTCAATTTATGCTCCCGGTCATCTACAGTTCCAAAACATCTCAGTCTACCCAAGGAAATTACATTATTACCACTCTCCAAATGCACTTTTTTCCAGGTTTCCAGTTCTTTCTAAATGTAAATTACATTTCACATTTAACCCTTTCACTGTTCATCATGTAGAACTATGCCTGTTTGGTTTAAAATAGTGAGTTTGAGGTATTTTTTAGAATGTTTTTTTTATATGTTTATTGGCTGTTTCTTGATATTATTTAACAGAATGGAAGATATATTATTGAAATTATGATTTTGGTTTGTTCCAGGACAGAAAGTAGCTTGAAAAATGGCCTCACACAGCAGAAATATTTGAGTTTTCCCAATTTTCTTACGGATGGGTAAGGCCTCCCCTTACACCCTCTGCTCTGTTTTATGGGTTTTAACCCTTTGAGGGTCGACAGGCCCTCTCAGAAACTCGTTCTCAGGGTCAGCCAAATTTCAAAAAAAAAAAAAAATTATTTTTTCTTTTGAAAAAATAGTTTTTTTTTCTAAACATTATAGGCTAAACAAAAAATTTTTACCATCAATACTTACCGAGATATGGAAGCGTGAAGTTTGCCAAAATTGAACAACATCGCCGACTGCCGTCACCCGGTATTTTTGCTATTTACTTTATGTACTATTTTCAATTATTTTTCAATTTTTCTTTTTCTGAGTAACTGTTTTATGGCCTCTGAGACCAATAATGACAGTATTTTGTAAGTTATTTCTTTTTTCAATACTACACAATAAGGCGTAACACAGTTTGTCATTTTTTTGTTTACAGAAAATATTTACACAAACGAATAGAAATGTTGTTTTATTACTATTTTTCTATATTTTATTATACACATATACATTCACAGGGAAGTGTCTAGAAGTTTCTGCACCTGTGAAGTCTTTAAAAACATGGTGTCCATGCAAGTGGTGTTTTACATTCCTCGCACATAAAACGAGTGTCTCTGCATTGTTGTGGCGCGTTTTCCCTTGTATATGCACAGACGAACACCTCTTCTGAGCCTTTTTCATGAAGCAGTAGCAGGCAGTTTTAACTAGTCAGTGATCACCATGCTTCAGACGAGCAGTATTTGTTGATAATTTGGTGGCGGTCCAATTACAGGTGATCTTCCTTGGTACTTAGAATCTATTTGTCTGATGACAGACAAACAATTCGCCTTACTGTGGTTTGTTTTTCTGGACCTCATCTTATACATAATATAAGCATTGAGACATGGAAATGTCCAGAGAGATGGAAAAATAATTTGATGTACCGCCTTATAACTCTTGCGAACACAACAGCAAACCCAATCTGCCTGTCACATTTGTCTACTTAAGCCGATGTTGAAGGTGTTTAATCAATCACAGCTGCAGGTTTTAGAATGGTTTCATTGCTCTCTCTATGCCTCCTGCCACTGTCTTCCATTTCATTAGGGTGAACTGATGACAACAAAGTGACATCTCGTTTGTCATGCCACGAAATGCATGAACATTGGCAGCAAATGCCTGGCACTCACCTCTACGAGTGCCATCGTCAAACCTGTGCATATGTTTCCGATTTGCACGCACTGTGCCACACACATCTGTCATGTTTTCACTCACAAAAAACACTGAGTGAGGGGCTTGTTGTACCAGTTATCTGTATATAATATATGCCCCTTATCAAGGTATGGTTCTATCATTGTTCTAACCACATAACAAGAGATGCCCAATAACTTCCTGGTATTTTGCAATGTAATAACTTCTCATTGTACACACAAAAATATCCATACCAGACCACTGGTAACAATCACAAAGCACAAACAACTTTATACCAAGCGTTTCCTCTTGCTTGGTATATACTGCTTGAAAGAGAGTCTTCCTTTGAACAGAATCAAAGACTCGTCAATTACAAACTTCCTGCGTACTGAATTTCTCTTTCAGATACACAAACACATTCCTAATCTTATATAACCTGTCCCGTTCCTGCAGGCCTTGTTTTGTCCTGAGAAGTGAAGCATACGTAACATAAGCCAAATCGGAAGCACTGGCATTATATCATTGAAACCTGGGTTGCAATCATGCGGTTTGTTGACCAGTATGATTTCACTTTGTGCTTATACACATGTGGCATAAGCATTATTGTGGCAAAGAAAAGATACATCTCAGCCACAGTTGCCCTCCTTCCACTGGTGTAGACGTGATTTTGGTGAAAGTCATTGTGTTTTGCCATGGAGTACACTAGTACGTGCTGCTTTCCATGACAATACTTTCCATCAAGGGGTTAGTCAAAGAAAAACTCGAACATTCCAGTTCAGTGGCATTGTTCCCAAGTGTACAAGATGGCCGTAATTCCACTTTGGCTGTCATCAAACTGTGGGGATATGGAACAAAATTGACAGCTCCTGCCAAACCCATGTGCGGTCCTGCTGGTGGTTACTTGGACCATGTACAGGGTGGTTGTGGTTGTGGAGGTTGGGTTGTGGATGTGTGGTTGTGGAGCTGGTGTGGTGGGTGGGTGGGGGAGGAGGCTATTGTTGTAGATCAGCTGAGGCAGCAGCGTGGGGTGCAGCATTGCCCTCTGCAGGTGCCTCACTGCCGGGCCCCACTCCCACCACGCACTTTTTTCCACCCCAATTGCAACATATCACACATTTTCACGTCTTTTCCTTTGTACACCCAGGAATGTCCCCAATTCTTTTCCCCCTTGGAATGCATATGGCACACTCCGAGCGCAATCGCTTATACTCCCTTCACGGGGGAATATTCATTTCACTACACTACGGAAATAGTTTGAAGACTTGTATTTCATATTCACATCATATCACCAAAAAGCCTAATCTGATTTGGTTTTTGGGAAATGGGGAGTTTCCCTTGGTTTTGGTACAACTAAACGGAAAAAGAGGCCCAGCCCAGAGGTGGAGGCTGGGGGCTCGGGTTTTTCCCACTATTCCCGATTTTTAGGCTTTTTTTGGTAAAAAACCTCCCCAAAAACCTTAAAACTATCTCACGGCACTTCCATCTGAAATTAACTGTCACGGGGGAACAAAAGTGCCCTTTTCAGGGAGTGGGGGTTTTTACCGCGAGGCAGGGGACTTGTTTCTAAGAGGGCATTCCCAAAATGCACCACGGGGTCCCAATTTTTTTTCCCCCACGCACACCGACCACACAGACCCATTCTCTCACACTAGGCCCCCCCACCTTTTCCCCCCGCGAGATTTGACGGCGCTGAATTTAGCGTACTGGCGTCAAAAACTCCTGGTGTAAGCTTACTAACGTCCGAAACCCTCAAAGGGTTAATTTTAAAACACACAAATTTAAGAAAACATCCGTTAATAACTTCCCTTTTTATTGAAGATGTGGTGTGTTTAAGGGGATGGGAGGGGGGGAGACGGGAGGGTTTTTAAGGTTTAAAGGGGAATCCCCTTCCATTAACTTGGTGTCAACCTTTTCCGGTTGCTTCACTTTTTTAAGCCACTAGGCCACTTTAGGGTCACTGGACTTTTTGTGACAACTATCTGTCCATAGAGGCCTTACCCCTCGTTCTTTATGACTTTTCCCAAAAGTGTTTTCACAAAAGTGCATGTAATTCACCAGCACGGCTTGCAATAGCGTCGAGGGTGATTTTCTCCATGAAGGTTGCCCCTTAAGCCCTTGCACGATTTCCTTAATCTTTGAAGTAGACAACTTTTTCAAAATTTTCCCTCCCCCCTCCGAAGCATTTCCTCATCTGGCCTCTTGCTGTTGAAGTTTACTAGCAGCTCATCATGGTTAGTTCTTCATTTTCTCCTCCACCCAAATCTTAACTCCTCCCCAGTAACCTCCAACCCCCCAAAGGACTTCCCCAATGCCACAGTTGATTCCTCAACTGGCATAGGATTCTCAGGGTTAGCCTCAAATCCTTCAGAAACCCTTTGGTCTACACATTCTGGCCACAGTTTCTTCCAAGCAGAGTTCAAGGTCCTCTTAGTCACTCCCTCCCAAGCCTTACCTATAAGGTTTACACAATTGAGGATATTAAAGTGCTCTCTCCAAAACTCTCTTAGAGTCAGTTGAGTTTCTGAGGTCACTACAAAGCACCTTTCAAACAGAGCTTTTGTGTACAGTTTTTTGAAGTTTGCAATAACCTGCTGGTCCATGGGTTGCAGGAGAGGAGTGGTATTAGGAGGCAAAAACTTCACCTTAATGAAGCTCATGTCCCCACAAAGTCTCTCTGCCAAGTCTGTAGGATGACCAGGGGCATTGTCTAACACCAGGAGGCACTTAAGGTCTAATTTCTTTTCAGTTAGGTAATTTTTCACAGTGGGGGCAAATGCTTGGTGTAACCAGTCATAGAAAAAGCCCCTAGTGACCCATGCGTTATTGTTTGCCCTCCACAGCACACACAAATTAGCCTTGAGGATATTCTTTTGCCTGAACGCTCTGGGAGTTTCAGAGTGATACACTAATAAAGGCTTCACTTTGCAATCACCACTA